TTTATTTATAATTATTTCTTTGATATTCTTATTGGTACTTAATTAGCATAGATCACTTTATCAAATATAGCATGTGATATAATTTACTATAGATCAGATAGTCTAGGAGACTCAAGTAATCTATTTTTACAAGTATATAAGTAGTCATAATACACTCAAAAGTAGGATAAGTTGAATGATAACTTTACTTAACTTTGGAAGTTTAGGAATAACTTCATTTTAATTTCTTAAAGATTGGATATCTTCTTTTAATTTTGAGACTAAAGAAATTGTTCTAGTTTTCTTGATTTATTAATAAACTTGAATTCTGAATAAATCATATTTCTTGTAAAACATTGTGTGATACTATTTAAAGGATTTTTGATGAATTTATTCTTTGATACTTCTTTATTATTATAAATCATTTTTTTAATCTTTTCTTTGGAAATTGTTTTTTTAAAAACAATTTTACTTGGATATACTGGTTAAATATAAATTTAATAAAATCTATGGTTTTATATTTTAATTCCTCATGAAAGCAAATAAAAGAATAGTTAGATACTTTATATTACTATTAAAGAGAAAGATATCAGAAGACAAAAATTGAAAAATTGAAGAGAACAATCATCGCTTACATATAAATAATTAATTAAACAAAGTAAAACTAATGATATTCTATATTTATACTGCTTTAAAGTATTAATTTTTAATGAATAATTAAGAAAAAGATATAAAGAATTAAAGGCATAAAGTTACTTATTGAATAAAGATCTAAAAAAGTTATTAAATATCAAAATAAATTAATAAATATAATTAAAGAAACAAAGGTTCATATACTTAAAAAAAGTGATACTAATTTGAAAAACTCTATTAAAAGAAGAATAAATATATATAATTATAGTTGATATTCTGAAGAGATATTTTTTAATAAAATATTTTATATCAAATAATTACAATATTAGTCATAATTACATATAATTAAAAGATTTATTGAAATATTTGAATGAACATTCAAAATTAATTAAAGTATTTCAATTAACTTATAAATAATATCATAATAATTCATATTACTATGATGTGACATCACCAAAAAACTTGTTGAATTGAATATATAATTTAAAAAAAAAAGAAATAAAAAAGAATAAAGAATCAATAATTAACTTAAAAAACAAAAAAATATTGAATAAGAAAAATCATTAATATATTTAAAAGATAAAGAACAAATTGAGAAAAGTATACAAATGAGCAAAATTCAAAGAGTAGTTAAGTTAAAAGAAAAAAGTGAAAATTTTTAAAAAATATTTGATAAGATAAAATCAATTGAGGTTAGTTTTAAAAAAGTTAAGTTGAAATCTTTAAAAGAAAAAGAAAAACAAGTAAAAGAGAAGAAAAAGAAAGAGAAAAGTGACAAATAATTTAGTTAATTAATTTTATAATTTTTTGTAATTTTTTAATAAATTTTGTGAAATTTATTAAATTTCCTAAATATTTATCAAATTTTAATACTAAATTTATAATTTTTATTAAATTTTTTATCATGTATAGAATTTTTTTATCATAGTATACAAATTTTTTTTTGTCACAATATACAAATTTTTTGTGTAGTACACTGAATTTTGTGCCAAATTTTTTTGTCACAGTATGCTGAAATTTTTTTGCCAATATTTTTAATGTCAAGTGGCAACAATTGAAAATGATTTATTAAAGTTTTTATTATTAGATTTTATTAAATTCAGCAATAATTCAATTATTGAATGATATAATTTCAACTAGTATTATGTATGGTGAGTTAGTCACTTTGTGAAAGTCTGTAAACAGTTGTAGATTTTGTTTTAATTTCTCAATAAAGAAAAAAAAAAGTTATTAAATTGTAAGTAAAAATAAAACAAAAAAATGAGTGCAAAAAGTTTGTCCCACGTGATAGATGATTTGATCATGTGATATTAATAGTGTACCAATGTGCGGAATCCAGGTTGACAGTTTAAAGGTTGACAGTTTAAAGGTAACAAAATGTCTGACGAAGAGATGGCACATAAAAGAAAAAGAGAGATTGAAGGTAGTGAAGAGCAAGAAGAAGGTAGGCGGATATTGCACAGGAAGTTGCGAATTTTAAAAACTTCATATTTGTCTTGAAACGTGTTTTCGGCATGAATTTGCGCGTGTAATATTATTGTTAAAGGGGATTCGTGCTCAAAATACTTTAATCTCGTAGATGATGTTGATATTGGACCAGCTCTACCTACAGCCGATGATATTCCTAAAAAGAAAAAGCGAGGTTTGGATATTGTTTTTGGTTTAATGGATCAAATATCGGCACCGCATTAAAACAGATATTTCATGGACAAAATAGTTTTACAGCACGAGAAATTATATTTGGAGCGTCTTCCTTCGGCTGATATGTACGAAAGAAGTTACATGCATCGTGATGTTCTGAATTACGTGGCTGTTACAAAGTATGTCTCGATATTTTGAATAACGGTTTTTTGATCTCACTATAATGACCGGCTGTTGCACACAATTTGCTTCCTATTAGAACTGATTTTGTAATTACGACCTCAGTAGATGGTCATTTAAAATTTTGGAAAAAGAGCGATAAAGGAATCGAATTCGTCAAGCATTTTAGATCACATATGGGTATTTGACCAGATGTTACGTGCGAATCGGAAAGGTCGCAATATTTCTAAATTTCGTGCTCGCCATTCTAGGTGTCATCGCGGGTATCAGCGTTTCCGCAGATGGCTTGCTTCTCGCGACTATAGCAACTGACAAGGCACTTAAAGTATACGATGTTATTAATTTTGGTGAGCAATCTTACCAACACTTGTATATACTCATTTATCATATGAATTAATTAAATTTCTTTGATTTCAGATATGATAAACATGATGAAACTGGAATATGAGCCTAATTGTGTTTGTTGGATACATCGGCGTGGACAGGCATTGTCCTTGGTGGCATGGTGAATACCTTGTTAGCATCAAATTTGCCGTTCATACAACATTCGCTGAATAATCATCTCGAATTATCTAGTTCAGACCATGACTCCGGAAATATCTATATTTATGATGGCCGAGGTGATGGAAAACCATTGCACACGATATCAAAGATGCATTCCGATCCTGTTCATTTGATGGCGGTATGCATCAACCCTTTATCAATAGATGATCATGATCACAGTTATTATTATTATCACATGTGCTTTTATTATAGATTTTCTAATATCCATCCTTTTTCAGTACAATGAGCTATACCATTGTGTGGTGTCGGCCGATGTGTCTGGAATGGTAGAATACTGGAAACCTGAAGAGCCGTTTGATTTGCCCAAGACAATTTCATTCGAATATAAATCCGACACTGACTTATATGAATTCAAAAAAGTATTTGAATATGCATATGTAAACCAAATTATTGTTAACATTATTAATATTATGAATGATTGATCCTTCCAATCAGGCCAGAACCATTCCGACTTCCTTGACATTTTCTCCGGATTATAAACAGTTTGTCACGATGAGCACTGGCGATCGTCAAGTACGCGTGTTCAAGTTCGAAAGTGGGAAAATGGTTCGAAAGTACGATGAATCTTTGGCGGTTATGGTTGAAATGCAACAGGTCCGTTCTTTGTGGAGATGATTGAACAATTGTCATCGAACAGCATTACTTATTCTGTTGACATACCTCAGGCAGGTACAACCATATACAAATTGGACGATATGGAATTTGGGCGTCGTCTTGCTGTTGAGCGCGAGTTGGAAAAAACCCAACAGGCAGGAACCATGGATGCAGGTATCTTTTCATTGAATTATAGTTATACCTGTCGAAATTGGAATCGGATTTCTAATTTTCAAAGGAATTTATTGGTGTATGCATATAGTATTCGATGAAAGCGGTAACTTCATCATTTATCCCACAATGTTGGGCATTAAAGGTTCGCGTCGTAATTTTATCAGCATTGGTTTGAATCGCTTCACTCAAGAGGAATAAAAAAAAAAAAAAAAAATCAATTAACACCAAAGATTATTTAAGTGGTCAACATTATCTCGAACAAGGTGGCAAGATTAATTGGGAAAACCGAACCGCACCGCTTTCTAAATATGGCTTTATACCAGGGGGCGCCAAAGAGAAAGGCATTCGTCACGTTGGTGAGTATGAGTATTAATTCCGATGCGCGGACATGAAAACTCTTGCGTGCGCTGATTTATCGTTCGATACGTTACACAAAGGCCATGGCAGCCTCCGATAATCCTTTGATGAAGGAAAGTGAATCAACTGATCCGACATTATTTTGTACGGCCTTCAAGAGAAATAGATTTTTCATGTTTACGACTCGCGAGCCCGATGCGTCAGTATAAATTTGCAGTTTTTAATTGCATAGAATTCCGCGCGCGTCTGACTTCACTCTGATAAACGTTCAACAGACACGAGTCGCACAAAGGAGATCGTGATGTTTATAATGAGAAGCCATCGCGAGAAGAACAAACGGTTGCATCCGCAACGCCCACCAAACAGAAACTGGGGAATACGGCGATACTACGCACAACCTTGGGAGATATCCATATAAGACTATTTCCTGAATACGCGCCAAAAGCCGTTGAGAACTTCGTCACGCACTCGAAGAACGGTTTCTACAATAATGTGATATTTCATCGAGTTATAAAAGGGTTTATGATCCAAACTGGGGATCCACTAGGTAACTTTTACTTGCATCATATCATTGTTTTACTTGATCAACGCATGAAAATATTTACAGATCACTGTCGACCATCAGGCGATGGAACAGGTGGAGAATCAATCTGGGGCGCTGAATTTGAAGATGAATTTAATAAAGATCTCAAGCACGATCGACCATATACCGTGAGTATGGCCAATGCAGGGCCTAACACGAATGGATCTCAATTCTTTATAACGGTGGTTCAAACGGTAAGAATGTATGTTTGTAGGAATGTTCGTACACATTAGATCTTATTTTTATTATCATTCATCGTGACGAACAGCCTTGGCTCAATAATAAGCACACGATATTTGGAAGAGCCACGGCAGGAATGGACGTAATTCACGCAATAGAAAACGTCAAGACTGATAAACTGGATAAACCATATGAAGATGTGAAGATCATTAACATTGAAATTCGTTGAGTGCGTTATTTGTTGAACGGTGGGTATTTACAATATTTGCTATATTTACATAAGTTGAAGGCTGCTTAGTTTTTCTACTGGGAGACAGCAGAGAAGAATAAAAAGGAAAATGTATAGAGTTAGTGGAAAAATAAATAAATAAATAAACGAATAAAAAATAAATAATTGGTGTGAGATACGCACGTTGTTTCTGGTTTAAAGCAAAGCACTTCTTTTACATGACCCCAAACACTTTTTCCTCTTTTTTTTTTCATTTTTTTTTTTTTTTCTCATTATTCATTTTCATTAATTCCTTGTTTGTTTTTTTCTTTCTGAAAAAAAAAATATTATTTAAGAGGACCAAACATTTTTGCCTCCATCAATTCCTCTATACAATCTATGCTGGCTGATCTTATCAGGAGGATTAGTTGGTCACTATCCCTAATGGTCAACCAGTTTCTATAAATAAAATCATAGGCGGCGGTCTTTAATTGTGCTTTGCTAGATAGACAATTGGATTTCCAACCGATTTCCAATACTTGATCCCAATTATTACGATCTACCAAAAGGATGATTCTATCAGCTACCAATTGAGCGAGTTGCTCCAGTCTCATCATATCAGCATTTACGTAAACGTCCTTGAGCGTATCAAAATCCAAACCATCTTCGAGTTTAAAAGTGTATAGAAAATAAAGAATGACGCGGAATGTTTCAAATGGAACGTGTTGTATGGGAATTATTTTTAAACTCCCATCCTTCCAGATACCGCTCAAGAATTTCGCGAAATATTCAGAACGTTGGACCAGGATTACTCTGTGCGCTTTGATCGTACGTCCTTTTCTTATTTTTTTGTTATCGGTGGTCGATTTTACATGGTTCAATTCACCAACGCACTTTTCACTTTTTACCATTTCATCGATACATCTACCACCAACGAACTCGTTATCCTCTTTCTCCTCAAAGGTAAACGCAACATCATAATATGCTTCGTTATTAAAAAAATTTTCGAAAGAAGCGGTAGCCGGAGAATCTATATATGAGGAGGATCCGGTGGAAAGGAATTCATTGCATAGTTCCACAAAAGGCAAGAGCATTGAATTGTTATTATATATATGAACTCTCACAACCAGGTCAAGTTCATCGTAACTCAAATCTACATCAGGAAACAATTCACAGAACGTTCCCAAAGTGGGGAAACCAAAGGTGGAATTGGCACCATGGAATTCAAAGTCCCATTTCTGCAGTGGACTTTCACGAACCAGTTCCGGAAATTCCTTTGATGAATCATGACATAACGGATGGCTATTGTTTCTGGAAAAAGTCGAAAAACCATAAAATTTATTGTTCGTTATTGGGGGGGCAGATGAGGATGTGGTGGTATTTATGGAATTTGCTGTGTTGGAATGCGAACGTTTGATCAGACGCCATATAGAAAATTTAAATTGTACACTACGTTTCATTATATAATTTTGCTTTTCATATAACGATTGAATTGCCTCGAGGTAGAGTGACAAATGGTTATTGTGTTTCTTGGTTGAACCGTTGGGATAGATTCTCAAACGCCATAGGTAAGCGGGGTCGTCATCCATTAAGCTGGCGACTCCACAATTGTCGGGATTGCTGTTTTTACGATTTCCAACGCCGTTCGTGTTGGCCGGAGGAGGAAATGCGGGGAAGGAGACCGATGCCTGCGGTAGTAGTGTCGTCGTTGGTGGGGGATGACAAAAGCCAAGATCGTTGGTCCACGCGTTGGGAGAGCAAAGTAAATTCGCATCGAATATACCTCTGGGCGATCTGAATCTCTCGCTGTACAAGTAATTACTGAAAGTCATTAATCTAACCAAGTCATGAAAGCCACGTAAAGTCCATGAATATATGTAAGGCTGTTGTGATATTATGTCATTTGAAGATTGCATTCTTGAAAGTTGCGTAATTTTCTAGTTCAATTTGTGCGAAGGCGAAAAAAAAAAAAATAACATACAGTATATATATGTGTATACGATGTATGCGCAAATCATGTGGTCAATATACATGTTACTAAATATGTTTAGCGTACGTACCTTCTCGTATATGCGATGATTCGGAGAATAGATTCCCTTTCGCAAATGGGTCTTTGATTTTCAGTTTTTCCGTCATTGCTATTTTTTTTCTTATCTACTCATTCATCTACATTTGGAATTTTGGATGGTTGGCACCGAGATTCTGTGTAACGAATGTTGATACAAAAGAACAATAACATGCATGTCTGGAAACATCGGTCAAGTACGTGCTCGTGACATATTGAGATGCACAGTAATTGTCAGTCAGGCCGGCTTTTGAGCACAAAGAAGACTGACCGACACTCTTTGATTGATTGGTCGTTGACCGATAAAGTCATTGAAAAACTATCAATGGTTAATCAGGAAGGAACCACCGATTTGGAAATCGATTGATCAAATTTTCTCTACGCGATTCAATCCCTAATCGGTTCCGTTCAAAGTTGATTGCTTAAAAAAAAACCATCACAAACCTTATTAATAATGACTTTTCTCATTGGTCAAAGGTCATGAACGGACAGCAAGTAGTGGCATTTGACTGTTAATTATTAAAATTAAATACATACTTTTTTTGTGTGGGGTTGCAGGTCGATTATTGTGGCATGGTTATACGCGTAATCACGTGTCACCGATGATCATTGCGACACGAAGTTCCCACTATAAATCGGTTAATTTTCTCATCGATAACGAAGGACTTGGCATATATGACTACTTCCACCAGAAAGTACAGTTTCCTTCCCAATGAAACCGATAAAATTAAACATTCCATTGCCGGAGCCGTTGCAGGTTGCGTTAGCTCGATTGTTACGTGTCCCCTCGATGTAGTAAAAACAAGACTACAAAATCAAGGCAAAGTCTCAGCCGATCGTAGGGTCCCCTTGTATAATGGCACCGGAGGTACTTTTGAGATTTGGGAAATTTTGCAAAACCTTTGAGCTTTTTTCGGATTCGTGCACCTCAGAGATCTCTTTTCTTCAACTCGCCTTTAGGAACCCTGAAACGAATATGGACAGAAGAGGGGATACGCGGGTTATATCGTGGACTTGGACCAACGCTATACGGCTATCTACCTACGTGGGCCATCTATTTCAGCGCATACGATTATTTCAAGTCGACTTTGGCAGAACGAACAGGTGAATTGCGATTTATTCATGTTTCGAGAATGACCCGGTGGAGATAACGATGAATTGGTCTCCGCGTTCAATGTTGTGTTGCAACCAACAAGTATACTTGGGATATTCATATTCATCAATTTTTAGGATCATTGAAACAAATATAAAATTATCCTGTCCCACAAAAATTTTTTAACGCAATGTGTATAGCGAGATTGATACATACATACATATATATATGAACACATACATAGACATATACTAAAAATGGATTTCTAGAACTGATGAGAAACATTATCATCTTGTTCTTGAAATCAATCTGTGTTAGGGCAAACCGCGGGTCACCAATGGGTGGTACATATATTCGCGGCTATGGGCGCGGGTGCCTCGAGCACTATAGTCACTAATCCATTGTGGGTGATAAAAACACGGTTCATGGTATTTGTCAATAATCAATACTCGAACCCCTTTAGTTCCCCTTTGGCTTCCCTTCATCATCATTATTTTCGCGCTTGAAACCATTACAAGATATGACGTTAATTCATCATCATCTCTTTGCAAATTAATCTTTGAAAGTTATTCTTATCCCATCATAATCTAGACGCAAAACGAAACAACAGCATACAAGTATAGAAATACATTACACGCATTTTCTACTATTTATAAAAACGAAGGGTTCCGAGGATTCTACAAAGGCCTAGGACCTTCTCTGATGGGCGTGAGCCATGTGGCCGTACAATTTCCTTTGTACGAGAAGATGAAAGCATGGCTAAGTAAGTTTTGTTTTTCTGACCTACTTTCTTTTTTTTTTTAAAAAAAAAAAAAAAAAAAAATTTTCTTGTAACGGCATCGACACCTCACCTCTCGCCTCATTTGTCATAAAGAGCCACCAGACAAAGATCATCTGTCCAACATTTCCATCTTGTTTGCATCGTCCGTCTCAAAGATGGCCGCGTCGATCGCAACCTATCCACATGAAGTTGTGCGTACGAGATTGCAAAACCAGACTCGTAAACCGTTTAAATATCAAGGGGTGCTTCACGCAGTCAAGGTGATAGAACAGGAAGAAGGGTGGTTGGCTTTTTATAAAGGGATGTCAACGAATTTGCTAAGGACTGTGCCGGCAAGCGCATTGACGATTTTGACCTATGAGATTTTGGTCAGAAGGTTGAATGCGAGTGTCGGTAAAGGGCAGTAAGGGAGTTTGGCGGTGGACTCGTGAATTTTTAATTTTCCGGTCAATCGATGAGGTCTTGTAATATTAGATGAAGCATAAAACATTTTAGGAAATAATCGGTGGGGTTTGGACTTTATTTTTTTTTTTATAGTATGATCTACACCTACCCAGAAGGAATTTTTCAAAATTGCACAAAAATATTATCACATTTCTATTGGCAAATTTGTTTTACACAAAAAGATTGTTTTAAGTGTACAATATCGATGTGTTTAATATAATGCTATGCTAAAACAAGTATTTTTTTCCACGTACGTGCCAGTTATGTGCTGATCATTTTCCGGTGAAATTACAACTAATACTGGAATTATGTCTCGTGGATCGTTATTAGATGAGGGCACCGGAAAAACTTGTTCTCTTTCGCGCCCACCCCCATCCATAGCGCTTGATATCACCGCACTCGCACAAATATGAGCAGTCTTCATCAAAGGCGAAATTATTCATACGGCAACGGTAATCGTTACAGTGGTAACGGTAACAACAGTCGTCAATATGGTAACAACCTAAAGGACAACGATTACTCCAACGGTGGAAATCACAGTAAATCCCCCCCACCGAACTACAGAAATTTTGGCGAAATTACGTTCCGAGTTTTTAATATTCGTCCGACTACCACCATCACCGAGTTGCTAGGATGCTTTAGCATACACGGTAATGTTCACAAAATTCAAATTGACACCAGGGAAACGCCAGAAGGTGAAAAATCTACTGGACAGGCTACCGTATCCTTCAGGTTGGTAACGGCGGAGAAAGGGAGAATATCTCGGGGAATTTGGTTATTCGAATTTTTAACCTCCTCTCGATTATTATTGAATGCACAGGCCCCCTCCACAAGAACCGTTCTGGCTTAGGGAGGTTCGTTTTCATGGTCGACTTTTCAGGTTGGAATATGTCGGGATAAGTAAATTCGCGTGCAACTCATTTTCGGCCCAGAGTCTCGAACTAGGAGTCTTCTTGAATAAAGATACCTTCGTGAGCGAACTCAAGTACACCGAGGATGTAGAATTCATGATAGATTACAAGAGGCTTGACATTCAAGTTAGATTCTTAGTCCGCGATGGATCCATCAGTCGCACCTTCAAACTCGAGATACAGTTTAAGGACATAGTTGAGAATTTTATTGAATGGGACAAGGCGAATCGTTCGCGCGCGTGCCTCACCATCGCAAACAAGTATCCGGCCAGGTATTGGTCGTTGGACACCAGAATGCTCCCTAGGAGCAATTTTGCCTTTCGACTTAACGATTCTTGGAAACGAAAAACCAACCTCCACATCCGGTCGCCAGCCGACAATAACTTTCCCCTACAATTGAACATGCCAGATCTCAGCGATCAATTGGGGAAGATGACCGTCTTTAGGCTTAGCTTCTATCTCAAAGATAAATACGAGGCAGAAGAATTCAAAAGTTTGATTAAGCAGGCCGGGGATTACAACCTTGTTCCAAAGTCCGACCAAATAGACACGAACCCTCGTCTCCAAGTCATCTCCGGGAATACGATGAGAAAACACGTGGATAGATCCATGTTGGATTTTGATGTGCTCTACATGACCGAAAGTAACTTGTCGCACTATTACCTGCACGATTACAATCTCAGCGACGAATTTTACGATATACTATCTAATCAACCGAAATCTTTTGCACTCGATTTTATGGAGAGGATTTCCGCCCGTAAGCAACGCGAGTACGATCCTCTCACCTATCTCAACGTCCGGATTTGTAAGCAGAAAAGCGGCCCAAGAAAAAGCTACAATGTGCCCCCCTTTTGTGTGATGATGAAAAAGGTGGTCATCTCTCCGACAACCATGTACATACTTCCGCCGGCCATGGAGACTTCTAACCGTGTCATCCGTCATTTCAAAAGTTATAAGGATAATTTTTTGCGCGTTCAATTTGTGGACGAAGCATCAGGGACAGTCGGATCGGCAGCAAACAATTACGCCATTTGTCACAGGATTTATAATATCCTCGTTAATGGTATTAAGATAGGGGATCGTCATTATGAATTTTTGGCCTTCTCTTCCAGTCAACTGAGGGATCACTCGTGCTGGTTTTTCGCCCCGAAATCGGGCTTAACAGCCGATGACATTCGCGCATGGATGGGCGATTTCTCAAGTAATAAAAACGTAGCAAAGTACGCCGCTCGGATGGGTCAGTGCTTCTCCAGCACCCGTGCAATCTTAACTTTGCAGGTCAACGATATCAAAGAAATCCCTGACATCATAAGGAATCGTTACAACTTTTCCGATGGTACCGGTAAGATTTCTCCGGCTCTTGCTCACGAGATAGCAAAGACACTGGAGTTAAAGACCACACCGTGCGCCTTCCAATTTCGGTTGGCGGGATATAAAGGGGTTCTTTGTCAATCACGTTACCTGCGCGGCAGGGAAATTCAAGTGCGACCAAGCCAGCAGAAATTCAACTCGACCCACAACGTGCTTGAGATCATCAGGGGATCATGCATGATCACCGCGTATCTGAATCGACAGGCGATCACCATCTTATCGGCACTGGGTGTTCCCGATGAGGTCTTCATTGAGATGAAGGATGCGCAAGTCCTAGAATTAGATAGAATGCTCAAGAACGAAAATACCGCCATCCGAGTTCTACAACAAAACATTGATGAATATGGTATGACGAGAACAATGGCGGAACTTGTGAAGGCTGGATTTCTGTATCACAAGGATCCCTACCTGGTGAATCTCATTTCCTTGTTTCGGATCACGGTGTTAAGGGATCTCAAGAAGAAAGCAAAAATCAGAGTATCCGACGGTGCCTTCTTGCTCGGTGTACTCGATGAAACGGAAACCCTCGAGGGTGACCAGATTTATTGTTGCAAATCGGATCCCAACAATCCTAACGTGAGGCACGTGATCGAAGGCCCCTGCGTTGTGTTCCGTAATCCGTGTTTTCACCCCGGAGATGTTCGTGTTGTCACCGCCGTCAATTGCAAGAAGTTGGATCATTTGGTCGATGTGGTGGTCTTTCCTGCATTGGGATTTAGGGATCTCCCGAGTCAACTTAGCGGCGGAGATTTAGACGGAGATGATTTCACGTAAGGATGCAATCGAGGATCTGTTTCCGTTTGCTAGATGTATCTCGCCCTCATGAATACATCTATATGTATTTTATTTTATTTTATTTTATTTTATTTTGAAATCAAGATTAATCTACGATCCAAAGCTGATTCCTAAGATCAGAAATGTAGAACCCATGAACTACGAGCCGCCTAAAGTCACACCTGTCGAGGTGACCATCGACGAAGTGAAAAGGTTCTTTGTAAATTATATACTTTCGGATCAATTGGGTCAGATCGCAAACGCTCATTTGGCTAAAGCTGATATGGCGCCAAATGGTGCTTTCCATGGCCAATGCATCCGTTTGGCACAGCTGCACTCCGAAGCGGTCGATTTTCCAAAGACAGGGATACCGGCAGAATTTCCGTTGGGGCTTAGAGCGGAACGTTTCCCCGACTTTATGGAAAAAGTGGACAAACCCACCTACGAATCTCAGAAGATTCTTGGTAAACTTTATCGATCCATTGTGGTGGACGAATTTGATCCTTACACGGATATCTCCTTCGATGAACGCCTTCGCGTGGATGGTTTCGAACAATATCTGGAAGACGCACGAGCAACCAAACGAGAGTATGACGCAGAATTGCGTGGATTGATGAATCAATTTGGTGTTTCGTCCGAGTACGAAGTTTCCAGCGGTTTCATTGTAAAACCGACGGTGAAGATTGAAAGGAAGAAGCCACGAGAGGTGCAAAAATCCGTCGCAGATAATATAGCTGTGATCAAACGTCAGTACAAGAAGAAATTTGAACGCGAGTTTTATGGTGACGGAAATGTTATACCACCCGAGAAAGAAAAGAGTATGGAGGCTAAAGCATTCGCGTGGTATTATGTTTCATACCATCCAAATGAAATGAACGATGATGATCCTTCAGAGAGAATGATATCGTTCCCATGGACAAACTGGGAAATATTGACGAAGATCGCGATCAAAAACAGTAACAAGAATAGAAGCTTCGCTGACTCCTATAGCCATGAAAAGCCGACAAAATCTTTTTCTTATTGGCGGGAGAACTTTATAATGGAAGAGGAAAAAACGTACAAGTCTAATCATGGCACTCGTGATATCCATGATGTGGATGATGGTATGAACTATCTCCGAGAGAGTCTCAGGAACAGTCACACCAGGAGTTAGACATAATGACAATCGTTGATTGGATTGAATCCCTTATATTTTTCTATTGTTTTTTTTTTAAAGTATTTAAATTATAAGTTTTGTTGATCACAATTGTTTATTATACATCGGTTATCCAATAGTGTCGAGAGTGTAAGATTTCATTAGTGATCAGAGAATATTGTTGGGTAAAGATTCTGCATGTTGATTCATATACTACACATATATCTATACTTGGGATGTTTTCGCGGATGGGTACAACTTGCTATATGATATTTTCGAGTAAAGATTAAAAATTATCAGCATAAATCAAACTTTCCTAAAATGCGAGTTTCTTATATTGATTTGATTCGATTTGATCCGAGTAAAACTTCATTTTAATTTGATATCACTTTTTTAAAAAATTCTTTATTACAAATGGTATTTTATAATTAGTTATTGAAATATAACTTGTTAATAAGTTTATTGCTCTAATTAAAACATACTATAAAAAAAAACAAATATCTACAATTTTATATGGATTTTTACATGATTATTTTTAAAAAAAATATAGATATATAATTAATATTAATGAAATAAAAGATGGTCCCTTTCTGTCAACTCTTTAATAATACACAAAAAAGATTTGCAAAAAGTTTTATGTTTTTAAATTAATAGAATCTTATCTATTACTTTCTTTAAATTAGCTTGAAAAATAATTTTAAAAGTCTTCTATATATGTTTTTTTTGTTTATATTTCTTTTTATACAAAAACTTGACTTCTAGTAATCAAGAAAGGTATAATATGAAAATTCTAAAAGAAAAAAAAAATTAATAGTGCAATATTGAAAATCTTTTTTTTAAAGTAAAGATATATACAGTATAAAGATTTTATACAATAGAAGAATAAACAAATTAAAATTTTAATCTTAAAAACTTTTTTATCTACTGTTTATATCTTTTACAATTATTTATTTTTCAATATTTCTAAAGGATTTTGCTTATTTCAATTTGATCCTAAATTTTGAAATGATATAAACTTATTAACTTTTATTAAAAATAATTAGTTAATATAAAAATATATTAATAATAAAATAAAATAAGTTTTTATTTATTATAATATATGTTTTAATAATATTATTGATAAGGAAAAATTAATTAATTCCTGGTTCTTATTTTATTTTTCAATTGGATTAATTTACATATTGAGTTTTATGAAATATATAAAATATAAATAACAAGTTCTCTTATAGTGATGACCTATAAGCAATGAACTTGATAGCTAAAGAATAATCCATGTTATTAAGAGAGCAAAATATCATTTTCTAAGTTGCATCTAGAGAAGTTAAACTTCTAAGATGGGTGAGTTGTTATGTGAAAATCTTTGAAATTGTATAATATTTTAAATACATAATAAAGATAAGCTATATCAACCTAATGACGGATTAAAAAAAAAAAATAATAAATAACAAGTTCTCAAGTAATAAAAAAATTATTATTTATTTAAATGAAAATTTTTCTCTTTTATTATTTCAATTCAAGATTTAAATATCTTTTTTATCTTGATCAGATAATAAAATTAAGCAATCTTTGATTTATATTAAAATTTAATTTTTTTATTATAATGAAAATATATTTTTTTCAAAAGTTATCAAAAGATATTGTAATTAATAAGAATTTTTGTTATTACTTTAAATTAAAAACTTTTGCATTATTATAAGTCAAAAAAAGTATTAAGAAATCTAATTATTTAAATAATAAAAAATATTTATCAATAAAATTTCTTTGATTAGATATAACTGCTGAAAAATATTATACTAAAATAATATGATTTAGTTTTTATTTAAGTTATATAAGAATTCAAGATTTATTATATATTATCAATATATTATAAATAAAAATAAAATTAATATTCAAAAAAAATTGAAATTAAATATGTTTCTAAAAGTAAAAATCTTTATTAAAAAATAAATTTTCTCAAACAATATATAAGAAAAAAATAAAAATCAAGAATAAATAAGTTTTTTAAATAAATAAAAAAAGAAAATCAATTTTAATTAAGAATTTTTTATTGGGAGAGGATTTTAAATATTAAAATTTTAAAAAAAATTGAAAAAAATTATATATATATTTTTTTTATTTTTTTATAATATATTTGTATATTCTTAAATATCCTTTCTTTTTTTTCAATTCATTATCTTTATAGTTTTTTATATTTCAATATTTTAATAAAATATATTATAATAATATATAAATTAAAAAAATCTCAACAAGAAAAAACTCTTTCTGCTGATTCTCTGACCACACACAAAAAAGATGTTCACAACAGCAAGAAAGTTTCCAAAGAAAGAAGAACTGACTGTGAAGTATTTGAAGGTCTATTTAACCTTTGAAGCAAGAGGTATATAGAGATTTTTGATAATAGAAGGGCTTATTTTTCCCCTTCCAGTTACTGTTGGATCTTTTAGAGCTATTGCTTTCATGGTTTTCTGGGAAATTTTGCCTACCTCAATTTGACTTTGAATTTTTGGTAACATAAATCCTCACCAAAGGTGATTGGCTAACACAAAACACATTAGTTTTTGGAATGTAAATAAGCTCCTATTGGTCACATTCACATGTTCTGATGACATCATTGAGGATTGAAAAGAAAGTTCTGGAAACAGTTGCCTCCAAAAAGCTTAAGACCCTCAATGAAAACTTTTATAACACCAAAAGATCAAGTGATGGGTAATGTAAATTGCAAATTCTCATCTCTTACCTAAGTTTCTCAAGTGATAACAAAGCTTTAACAAAAAAAGCTGAGGTCTAAATTCTTTCCTTAAGATATCCCAATCTGGTGTTTATTTAAATAAAAGATCAGTTGAATTGACTCGTCCGATGCTACAGGTGATGAAAAAGAAGATTTCTTCTGAGGTTCAAATAAAGCAAGAAGACTATTCCAATTAAGCAGATCCCTTTTGAGAAGAGGTTGTTTTTATTTTTGAATTTTTTTAATACTGTAGATCTTGAATTGTCACCTTTTTCCAATTGTTTTTCCCCTTTCCCCTTTTTAACTTAGTAATTCATTGGTTTTTGGACAATTAATAGTGACAAACTGTTGACAATGATCCTGATAGATAAAGGTTATTATCAATCTATTAGAGAAGTGAAATATTGTCCCCAAAATTTGATTTAGAGTACTTTTGTATGAAGATAAGTTAGTTATTTTATGAAAGTCTGTAAATATTATAAATTCATTTTCAATTTTTCAATAAAGATATACTATTGTGGTATGATTGCGGGGTAAAAAAAATAAAATAAAATAAAAAAATAAAGAATTTTTTTCACAAGTTTTATAAATTTTTGTTAAATAATAGTTGCTGAATTTTTAATGAATAGTTGATGAATTTTTGATGAATCATTAATAAATTAATATCATTTTTAATAAATAATTTTGTGATGAACTTTTAATGAATTTTTACTAAATGGTTATTGAATTTTTGACAAATTTTTTGTTAAACTTTTAATTAATAAATTTTTTATTGTTGAATTTTTTAATTGTCAAATTTTTGATTACTGAATTTTTGATGCCAAATTTTTGATTGCTGAGTTTTTGATTGCTAAATTTTTGATTGTTGAATTTTTGATTGTCACTTTATAACTGAAATATAATATACCAAGTGGCAACAATCGAAAAGAATTTGACAATATTTTTATTATTAAATTTAATCAAATTTGGCAATAATTCAGCAGTCGAATAACATAATTTTGACTAGTGTTAATCTTGTTTTGATTAGGCACATATCATTTCTCCTTTTTTGTTTAGGTTGTTTACCTGTTTATATTGACTTTGTTGTATTTTTTACAAACCCTTGACACTCTGTTTATATTGATCACTTTTTGTTGTGATGGTTGTATTTGATGATCTTATCAATTTAAATTACACTTATTGTGTTGTTGTGTTTGACTTTTGTTGAACTTGTTTTGACAATAGTTTTATACATGTATATATGTTCACACTACTCTAGTAATGTGTTTTGATGTGTATGAAGATAGAGTATATATATTAGACTATTTAAACCTTAGTAAGCTTTGATGCCTTCTGGGTCTTTAAGAATTTAAGGTTTGCTTAATTTATCAAGCAAACTTATCTGCTTTAGGATTCCTTGTAGTATTAAGAAAGATGTCAACCTGCACTGGCCTGGCTGCAAGCATGTGAAGTTGATATTGGCTCTTCTTTTCTGACTGTGAATCAGTTTATGTTGACTTATTTCCTTCTCTTTAACAAAGAAAATATAGTTAAGGTTATGCTTTATGTAGTGTTTTCCTCAGTAATTACTAGATTAGAGCTATGCATAAAGTATTGTTTTCTGTGCTAAGATATCTATTATATGTTGATGTTATAAGAAAGTATATATCTTGAGTTATGTATGTTGCTCTTTCTTGAGTATATTACTTAAAAAGAAAATTTCTAAGGATCTGAGGAATTTGTAGAAAGAGTTTTTTTTTTTATTAATTTGAAAGTTTATAAGTTAGTATATATAATATAGTAATTAATAAACTAATACATACAGTATATGGTTCTAAACTAACTATATCAACAATATTATTAATAACTATATATCAACTATCCAGCCCCTAACCAGGCATGTTCTTTCACATGAGAAGTTTTAAGTAGGTCTGCCTAGAATAAACCATGATAAGTTATCATTAATTTATATATATACTGTATATATAAGATGATTAATATAATGCTTAATATTTAATTATCAATAAATAACTTATATCTAATATTAGTAATGATTTAAAAAAAATAGATAAATAAATAAAAAATAAGAAAATTTTATAATATTAAATATAAATTTAAAAAAATAAAAATAAGATAAATATAAATAAAGGTTAATAAAACTTTTTTAATAATAAATTTAGGAATTTATTAATAATAGTCAAAAAATATTTATTTAGTATAATATTTTTTTTTTTTTAACTCACAGTCAGGTTAGCATGGCGTGTCTTTATTGTATATATACAAAGATATTTACAGGATATTTTGACTTTTA